TATTCTCAAATAACACCAAATGACCCCTAAATTCATCATTTCACTACAGTCAAAATAATCATCCGAGATGTCGAAATTTCGCTTCTTGTTTGTCTTAATTCTCTTTGAATGTTTTTTTCTGCTGATTCATTGTTCCACGTAAATTTTTTAAACGAATAATCCAAGGTCTAATAATTTTTTTTTTCATCCATCGCTCTCTTCAGTTCATTTGTACTCATACTCAATGGCAATTATTGAATATTTTTAAACCTGACGTCGTAACTTGCGTCACAAGTATGCAAAATTACGATGGATATTAAATAACATGTTGTGAAGTCACTAGCTATTAGTTGAATAGTTAAAGTATATGAGTTGTTACTGTGTTAGTGGTCAAACTGGATCTCTGATTATGGTAAAGATTTAATTAATTCAGACATAAAATTCATTCCTGTTTCCAAATCACGTGAAGCTTATGGAACATATCTGGATGTTTGTAAACATTTTTAAATGCTGGATTTGAATGAAAATGTAACTTGGATGAAAACATGATTGATGATTTTTAAACATTTGAAACTAATGCTGGCTAAAAGATTTAATAACAAACATTCAAGATTTTGTGGATGCTTAAAAATCAAGTTACATTTGTTGCCAATATTTCTGCGGTTGCGGTCTCAAAACGATGGAATTTCCAAAACTTTTTCAACTTCTTTTTGTTTTCATTCAAAAAGGAATTTGAACCTTTTATATTTGACTATTGACGTCAAACCTCAAAAGACTTAAACTGAGAATTCTTCTTCATTCCTTTCTATTTTAATCTTTTGCGTTACGTTCCTTCTTTCTTGGTAAATAATTTCTCGTATTGAGCACTTTTTGTAACTTTTTCTGAACTTTGGACTTTAAATTAAGCAACTTAATAAGAATTTTAATTAAAAATCTCAATTCTTTTAACTTCGAAAAGTTAATGAGTGAACAATTAGCAATTCAGATTGTTTTTAAGAGGTGTATTTTCGAATACATGCGTTATTAATTAATAATTGGCAGCCTCAACTTTAGTTGATAATATTTTAATATTCATTGTAGCTTTTGGTCAATTAAATAGAATAATAACAATAAAATACAAAGCAAATTGTTGATCTTTAGATTCTCGAATGTTGTTGATAGTTCAATTAATAATCCTGTTTTGTAAATAAGTTCTGGGGATTAGTAATTCAATTTTAAAAGCTTTTGTGACATTTTACAATATTGAAAGTGTCAATCAAGTTTGGATTAATTGAAAGAACTCAAAATTCTACTTCTATTAGTGAATATTAAGCTTCAAATTACAAATTTTAATAAGAACTAAGAATTGCTTAATCATGATGATCAAAACTAATGGGTTTTCAATAAAGACAAGAGATTTTTATCTGCAGTAAGTTATAAATGAACAATTTTATTATGAAAACTATCAGCTTTGAATTCTCAGCAACAAAATAATTGTAGAATTTGCTCAAAGCAATGCCTAGTAATTTCTTTATCATATTTTCAAATTAGTCAGCTTGATTATGACTAATTCACACTTTGGGAAATCCATAATTTTCTAGTTTGCTGCATTACTCATTTCAAATTCATATTCTGAAGGTCCAGTTCCTTTAAATAACCTTAGCTAGTCTACTTACTCACGGAAATCGTATAACTTTTTAAACTATCGAAACATTCGCAAGCTTTTCAGCTCAATAATTAAATGCCGGAATTAAAACTTCTTTATATTAAAAATTCGCAAATCATCAATGTAAAAGCTTTTAAATTTCCTTAAAATAATAATTATTATTACATCCAGCATAGTTAAAAATGTCTTCTTAAAATCCTTCATACCAAAATGTCAATTTAAGCAGCTTTCCTTCAATATTCTCAATGAATTGCATCAATTGACCATAAAAATTTTATTATTATTTCTTTAAATATTTGTAATGTCTACCCCACATGCTTAATTATGCATTAACTAAAGCGATTTGCAATATAAATAAAAGTTGAAAATAATAATATATACACCGTTATTGTTTCGATGTCCATTAACCACTCGATGGCTTGTTTATTGCACCATTGACACAATGTTTGTATTTACATGCCGAAGGTTCGATGGCTTGACTGTTGATTTCTATTCTGCGAATATTGTGATGAAATTAACACAAATTTTCAACATGATTTATTGAATTTATCTCATTAATGTTGTTTGTGCATGATTTGGAGTAGCTCGTTGTTGCCATTTAGAGATAATTGTTTGTTGTTTATGATTTGTTTACGTTTATGAAGTTGACGTTTTCTTGGAAGTTTGAAAGTATTTAAAACAAATCCAAATTGAACTTAATCATTTCATTCATGTTAGTAAAGTCTGTACTTGTGCCGTACGTCTTGATAACTCTTGCTGTCCTCAACACTTTCACTCAAAAAACTAAATTAAGTAAACCTAGCAAGTGCCCTGCATCTCTAGCTAATTGCCTTAATTACCACTAAGATCAATTTATTCGACACAGCCCATAAAATCAAGCAAATTGATGACTGAATAATAATTTGTCTTCCATTCATAAACACCGCTTCAAGAACGGTTGCATAACATACACAACTTATTTTTATGTTTTTCTCTCTTTAAAGGTCGATTATTAATAATTTGCAATGTTGAGATTACACACATAAAGAAGGTCTTCAAGAATGAATTATTATTGTTTTATAATTGATTGTTATGAACATTTACGGAAGGTTCTTCGCGAAGTTTTTTAACACTTCCATAAAAAATATTTTGAAACATTCATTGTGCCTCTTTGTGTGTTTTTGAGAGTTTTGAAAATAATGTTCATTGGAGAAGAATGTGAAGAGTTGCTAAATTTTTTTATGTGTCTGTTTGAAGAATGTGCTTGATTATGATTATTATTATTATGATGATGATGATGCGTGTTTGTAATTACTATAAAGAGACATGTGAAACGGAGTTTAATAAGTAGGGAAAGAGGTCAGTTATTTGAGAGAATTTGGGTTGATCTGTGTAGACTCTAGAGCAGTGTTGTCCAAACTGTGTGCCGCGACACTCTAGTGTGCCGTAGAAATTTTTTGAAACTGACACGAGCCACATGCTGTGTGCGACTTCGGTCATGGCTTACCCCTCAAGTGTGCCTTGGCACAAAAAGTTTGGACAACACTGCTCTAGAGTCTATAGATTTTGGGACTTAATGGAACAATTGTCAAGCAATTACAGTTTTATGAGTCATCGTTAGTGGTGTCATTATTAGTAGCTACTAGTAGAGCGCTCCATAGTAGATACTATTAACAATGAGTATACTAGGAGCTAGTAACTAGTAAGGAGCTACTTAGCTACTAGGTTAGCTACTAGAGAGCTAAATAGCTAAGTAGCTATTTACTAGTTACGAGCTACTAGTAGCTACTAAGGAGCTACTTAGCTACTAAGTTAGCTACTAGGTTAGCTACTAGGAAGCTAAGTAGCTCCTTACTAGTTACCAGTTCCTAGCTCCCAGTTTTTACTATTTATTAGCTACTAGTAGTAACTGGTATATACTAATAATTACACTACTAGCTACTTTTATAAAAGCATTAATAGCTACTAGAAGCAATAAACTATATAAATTCCTAAAGAGTCCTTCAAAAACAATTCATTTTCTATTTAACGTTTGGAATTTTAAGATAAAAATCTGATTCCATTGCTATGATTCCCATTAAAAAATATTATTATTATAAAACTAGCTGTCGACATTATCGCAAAAACTGCTAATCACAGAAAAGCTTTATAAAAGCTCATTTGATGCACAATTAAGATTTATCAATTAAAAGCGTTTAATTAAACAAAAATTAACAATTTAAAATTTCTGTCTTACTTTAAAAGTAATTAACTTGTAACTCCTAATCAGATTAAAGTGCATTAAAAGATGCAAAATATTCTCACTTATTCACGACCACAAAGTCATACATAAAGCTTTTTTGAAGAACACGTTGCGGTAATTTCACAACATTAACTAGCAAAAAGTAAACAAAAGAAATGCAAAATCAACATATGATAGTGTCTAACTTTCTGCATACATGCCGTAAAATAACGTCAGTCAAAAGTTTTCACAACATAAAATTAAAAGTGAAAACTATAAAGCGCTGAAGTTGCATTTGTCGTTATTTCTTTTCATGCTTGTGTAAGCATATAAGCAAGAAATGTAAGCGAAACATAACACCAGAGAGTGAGAGGGATGAAGAGACTAAAATGAGAGAGAGAGAGAGAGAGGAGAAATATGAATTGGGTCAAGGCTGCATCACAAATTTCTCAAGAAAAACTTTTTCTCGCGTGTTCATTTTTTTCGTCATCTTTCTTTCATGTAACCATCACATTTCTTAAGATGACGATGTTGATGACTTTTTGTTGTAGCCGTGTTAAGATGGTAGCGAATGTTGGTGAATTTTTGAGGGATTTTAAAACGCATTTTGGTGCTTTTGAGGTCGAATTTCATTGATTTTATTGGATTTTATTATTAAAGCTGTCAAAAAGGATGAAAAAGTGTCTTTTGAGATGCTTAAGACAAAGCTTTCAATTAAAAACAACTGCCAATAATATTTTGAATTTTAATGGTTTTTAAAAATTCAAATTCAATTCATATTTTCACACCCCTAATTTTTAAAAACAACTCAAATTCAAAAAAATTAAAATAAACCAAATTTAACACCCAAAACGAATCACTTACCAAAACATTTTCGCAACCAAAAGAGCATTAAACAAGAGTATAAAGATGAGAAAAAAATAAATTAAGGGGTCGTCCACTTATGACGTCCATCAAAAAACCTGATTTTTAGACCCCCCTCCCCCCCATCTGTCACAAAAATTCTATAAAAAATTTCCATTGCTTGAACTGTCACAAAATCCTAGACCCCCCTCCCCCCCTAAATGTCGGACATCATAAGTGAGGCTAAGGCTACATTTTTAAAAAAATTTATGTGTGTCAAATAGAAAATATTTGAGTTTCTCATCAAGACATGTCTACTTTTGTATCTTCTAGGAGCAGCGAGCAGACAATTGCCACAATAGATGATGGCGGGACGCAATGGTCGAGACCACAGAATGCTGTATCAGTCCGGCATGCATTCAAAACATATGGACCGAAGTCAAAGCCTAATCAAGTACTTAATAATTTAAATATGACTGTAGCCAAAGGAACGATGTGAGTATTAAGTTTTAAATTCTTATTAATAACGTCATTAATATGTACATGTGCGCCATATTATATATTTCTATTTCTAATTACCTGATTTTCTAGTCTAATTGCAAGTCGTTAATGCAAATAGATTGCAATCAATTTTTTCCATGTTCAATTAAAAAATAAAGTTGAAGCTTAGAGCTTTAAAGTTGGTAATGAAAAATCCGATCGTCCTTGGCACTCTATAAAGTATTCATCTCTGCGTGTGTGCGCATACAGTTGAATATTTACAAATATAGTAAGATGGATTAGTTGATTATTAAGATGTATTAGCAAGTAGCGGTCAATGCAATAACATTTTAAGTCAATGAATTGCAAGTTCAAGCTTATAATGTCTGTGTAATTATTGAACTATTTTACTAGATTTTGTATCATTTTGTTGTTCTGATATAAGCAGGGGTGAATTGAGGACTTTACTGACTCACTATTAATTGTTGAACAAGCTGAACAAGTTTCTTTCCCGGGACCTGGGCTATACAAGCTATGATGTAGTTGCTGCTATTTTCCTGCCTAGGCTTAGATTAGGCTTTAGAATCTTAAGGAATTATTATTATTCGTCATGGCTTTATTACATTATAAACAATGGTACAATTAGTTCCTCTTATTGAATTCACAAAATTCAGGATGTCTGATTTCATATAAAAGTTTTGAGTCTGGTTTAAAGCTTAATTAAAGCTTACTTTTTATATACCTTTTCGTAAGCTGCTTTTGAGGGGTTCAAAAATATTAGAAACTCTCCTTAATATGACTGAGTGTCTCTAGCTCAGAAGTCTATATAGAATCAGCTTCATTGATTCAAAGCTTGCGCATGCTAGGACTTTTCAGCCTCACTTCAAACTCAACCTGGGATTGATTTCCCCTTCATGATTACCTTCATTTATTAATTTAACTGCTGACATTTTTCTCTTTTCTTATGATGTGTTTTAAAAGAACAACCATCAAATTCGCATGCTTAGTGATCAAAGATCGTTCGAAAATGACGATGATCTATAAAATTAGTTTAAAACTCACCAAATTAAGGAAGACATGAGCGTGTAACTTTAAATATCGATAAATCAACAGAAAGTGTCAAAAAAGCACCTTCCAAGCATCGCATTCTCCTGATTCATAATCTCGTTTCACGGCCAATTTGTTTAAACTCAAAGATTGCGAGATGTTGCGAAACGGACACATATTATATGATATTACTAGACATTGAGACCATATTGATGGTATTTATGTATAGGCAAATACAAATATTGGTGTGCACGGTCATTTGGACACAATGTTGAAACAAGAGAAATTTTTTTTATATTCATTCCTCAATACACACATGTGTGTAAAGCTAGTGACCTTCAGTCGATGAGCAAAAGCAGGTAAAGATTGAATTGTGCAAAAATATGTGCAAAATATTTCATTTTTCGCTTATCTCTCTCTCGAAGTTATGAAGCCTCATATGTTATATTTTTATGAAATCTACAATCTATTGCGTGTTAAATAGTTGTAAATTGTAAGCACTTGCCGTTTTAATTACAGCAACACTTACCTAATCTAACATTTCTACACTTTTTTTTTCCATACATGTGTGGATGATTTTTTTTTGTGTAAATGCGGAAAAATATTTAATAATTTTCGAATATCTACACACATGCGTAGGGAAATGATGTTCTTCCTGTATAAGCTTATTTTTTATGATTTTTTATGTACCGGATTTCGATAGAAGAATTCGCAATCTTGAAACAATAGATTTAAATGCTTAACTATGTGTGGCTTCCTTAATGCTGACTCTTAAGGCTGTAATATCAATCAAAAGGTTCAAATAACTTAACATCAAACTGTAAAGAACAAAAAGTCAATTGATTTTTGCACAAAATCTGATAAACAAGTATTTCAAGCTATGCTAATTATACTTTTAAATTAAATCAAATGTAATTTCATTCCGTTCACGTCTCAGAACACAAAGGAATGCAAATTGTTCAGATCAATTCCTCATTAGTCCATGAAAATTCAATTAAAATGGTTCTTATCTTAATTCATTTCTGATTCTGTTGTCAGCAGGTGCAATTGACTTAAAAATGGAGAAAAGAGTTCATGGAATTCAAGCTAAGGTTAACAAGTGTCGATCTCTTTCGTACAGACACACATCGCGTGATATTACTTACGTATATTACTTCTCTTTCCTTCCATTCTGACATCAATTGAGTCTTGACAGATTACTTGAGTTATTAATAATGAATTTATTTATATATTTTTTTTTGCAAAGTCATTTAGAATATTTTAAGCTTTGATGGGATTACTTCTAGAATGTATTGACGTTTCCAATAAGATTAAGAAGTTGTAAATTTAATGGACAAACAGGATTATTTTATAGGAGTAATAAATACTTTAAGAAATGGGAGCAAAAGATCAAGTATCAGATTGTAATTAAAAAGGCTTTAGCTTTGTGAAAGATAAGAAGATTTTGTGGTAAGTCAAGGGTGTCTAGTTAAGTGTTGCTAAGTGAGGCTTCTAGGGATAAAGACTTTTCAAACTTTGAACTCCTTTTTGGATGATTTTCAACTTGAATCTATAAAAAATCTAGAAATTGCAGCACAAAGGCCTTGTCAAGTTTCAAATTAGTGATCTTGTATGTCTGCTCAGGCGCGTAACCAGGAGTGTTTTAGGCCGTGCTCTCGCTGCGGTTCAAAATGTTTAAAGGGGGGACAAGACCCTACTGGATACGCGCCTGTGTCTGCTATACAGTTTTCAGGCTCTAAAACAGTGATTCTTAAACTTTACAAGCTGCAACACACTAAATCACCAATTTGAAATTTATTCGTACATTTTTAACGTGCAACTGAAGGTTTCGAGAACACAAGCTTGTGTCGCAGATCATCGATTGTGAATTGCTGCTCTGAAGCAGATAGATCTTTTATTATCGAGTTCCTTTAACTCTTTATGCCATTATGGACTTCATAAATAATCTTAATCCTGACATTGTGGTTATTGTAATCTTAAATGCATTGTTATTCTTCTAAATTGTATATTATTCAAGAATCTCACAGCAGGAATATTGCTGGCAATTTTTCTACTTCGTCTATTAATTCCAAACCAGTCCTGTCATAAAAATCATCAATTGCAGATTGAATTTTAATAAAAAAAACTTTTTTAAATTAAGTTATTGCAAGCAGGTATCACAAGAACATGTTCTAGGTGTGCCTTAAAAATAATAAAAATGAGAAATTAATGTGACAGTAAATAAGAAAGTTCAAGATAGTCCATAAAATAAAATTGAAGATATTGAATGCATTTTTTTGACAAAAGAATAGAACATTTTAATTTAAGATTTATTTGTCTGCCTTAAATGTGTCAAATTGTCACGGAAATCTTTTTGTATGAAAATTAACTGCCTGAAAATTAAAGATTTATTGATGCTAATAAATAACTCCTGATTTTGATGATTGATGTCCCTCATTTAATTTAGGAGCTGATACTCGATACTTTTGCTTTATTACAGTTAAAAATGAGGATGCAGTCATCGATAATATCAAAAATTAACAATGTTGAAAGAGAAATTTGCATATTTGAAGGATTTTTGCTGCATTTTAAGATTTGCAAGTTTCTTTTGAATTGTTTATGATGATTCAATATTTAAAGTTTGAGTATAATTCATGTCTGAATTAATTGACAATTCGTGATTTTCTGACAATTTCGTAGTTGAAACTTAACTAGCATGATGAATCACGTTCTTAAATCCTTAACAATTCCTGTTTATAATCTGACATAATTAATGCAAGCCCGCTGAACAAACAATTAAGTTAAAGAGGATAAAGATGAGACACTGACTTTATTTAATATAATCTTTAGTATTCACCAGCCATACGAGATATTACATTTAGCTGTGCCTTACAATAAGGAAATTTGTATGCAAATTCTGTTTCAAAATGCCATTAATAACATTTATGTGATTACTGCTTCAAGGTCTATCATCTCTATTTTAGTTTATATACTCTTGAAATAATCATGAAGATTGAGTTTAATGTGTATGACTAGGCTAGACTAGGAACCTAAGTGAAGGATGCCTATTATCTGCCGATCGGCAAAAAGATGTTTACTTCTTGCAATTTTTAAGGAATAACTAAGATCCTTACTTCTAGTGTTACTCTCTATTCTTGTGATGTGGTTTAAATTTCTAAATAACCGCAAGGAATCAAATTTAAAGACTTTCAAGCGGTACAATACTATGGAAACCTCCAAAGATACCACCTTCATGATGATGCCTTAAAATTATGATCACTATATCCTAAAACTACCTAAGTTGTCATGAATTCAATTAAGTTTGATGCTATTTGATGTTTCTCAAAAGCCACAAAATCACATGATTCAATTCAATGTGACGAATAACGCACATTTATAGCCATTAGATCTAATAACTCTCACTAATTACACCGTATTCGACTAATTCGACGCAAAATGATTATCGTAATAATCAGTGACTGATACACAACTTAATATTAAGCTATGAAAATCAACAATTGCATTATTTTGTTGACTTGACAAAAGATAATGACTTTTTTATAGACCCAATAACACGTGGCATTTACTTGTGTCACGGCTCTAGAATTTCAATTGACTTTAACCTTAATGTCAAGTGCAACAAAACAACTCTCTTAATTTATGTATAATATGAGCGCAGCACTGATTGAAGATCATTTGAGGAGTGCTTTTGAATTAATCATTTGACTTTATTTATTTTTCCATGTTCTAGATATGGCCTATTAGGTGCTAGCGGGTGCGGAAAGACTACTCTTTTGTCATGTATTGTAGGAAGAAAACGACTTAATTCTGGTGAAATCTTTGTATTGGGCGGAAAGCCAGGCACAAGAGGTAATTTATGTTGTTTCAGAAGCTTCCTGACTATTGACATTATTAACAGATTTAAGATGCAGACTATGGACTAATGACATTAAAGATGTAGAACTACATTTGACTTTTTGGACATAAAATATTAATGCTATTCGAAAATTCACAATATTATCATCCATAACAGGCTCAGGTGTGCCGGGAAAACGTGTTGGATATATGCCACAAGAAATCGCACTCTATGCTGAATTTTCAATCAAAGAAACAATGATGTATTTCGGATGGATCTTTGGTATGCAAACATCAGAAATTATTGAACGTCTTCATTTCCTGCTCAACTTTCTTGACTTGCCATCGGAAAATCGTCTTGTGAAAAATTTGAGCGGTGGTCAACAGCGACGAGTGTCATTTGCTGTTGCACTTATGCACGATCCAGAGTTGCTCATTCTTGACGAGTAAGTTTGTTGTCTATCCAAATATTTATCTTATGTAATGTTGATATCCAATTTTCTATTTATAGACCTACAGTCGGTGTTGATCCCCTCCTACGACAAAGTATATGGAATCATTTAGTGCACATTACAAAAGCTGGACAAAAGACAGTCATCATTACCACACATTATATTGAAGAAGCACGACAAGCACATACTGTAAGTTTATTGCACTTTTATATACTTCCCTAAAATGGACATAAAAATTATTGCTTTCCTTTTTTAGATCGGTTTGATGAGATCTGGACGTCTCTTAGCCGAAGAGTCACCACAAGTTTTATTGTCTATGTACCGATGTTCAAGTCTTGAAGACGTCTTCTTAAAATTATCTAGAAAACAGGGACAACAGCAGCAAGCAGCATCAGAGTTAAACATAAGGTATGTTTTGTGGCACATGACATTGAATGTTGGTCCACAGTCTGTCGATTATGATGTATTAAAAAATTAATTCTACGGTTTAAAAATAAATCTCGAGATTTAAAGTTCGAATTCACATTAAAGAAAGTTGACCATACCTAACAGCCGAATTTCCACTTCCAGTAATAACATTTCATTATCAGCATTGGCATTTGGTAATAAAAAGGATAATCCCGTGTATATAAGTCAAGAAAGCGGAGTTATAGGTTTAAATTTTCATCAAAGTAAAGAAGTCTTAATTAGTGAGAGCAATAATGGATCTACATATGGAGTGAGTAGCTGCAAACATTTAGCAATAACTTATGAATTATTAATTTTGAATTGATTTATTCCACACCAGTTAAATGGAAGCACACCTGCACTTCCTGCTGCTCAAAACCAGTCAGCTATCGAATGTGATGATTGCGGCGTAGATTGCTGCAATGTAAGTCTTAAATTTTGAACTTTCTTAATGGATGTTTCATATTAACCTCGTCTCTTTTAGTTAACAACTCGCGGTAAAATTCGTGCCTTGCTACAGAAAAATTTCTTACGTATGTGGCGAAATGTAGGTGTTATGCTGTTCATTTTTGCTCTACCCGTTATGCAAGTTATCCTCTTCTGCTTGGCTATTGGACGTGACCCTACTGGATTAAGAATTGCTGTCGTTAATCGTGAAATGAATGCTTCTGGTGAATGTAAATATGAGAAAGGCTGTTCATTTTCGAATTTATCGTGTCGGTATCTGGATCATTTAAATTCGAGCATAATACAGGAATACTATGATGATGTGGAGTCGGCGAAAATGGCTGTTGCTCAAGGAAATGCGTGGGGTGCGATGTACTTTACAGAAAATTTCACAGATGCACTTGTCGCTCGTATCGTTCTTGGACGTGATGCAGATGATGAGACATTGGAACAATCGGAAATTCGTGTATGGCTGGATATGTCTAATCAACAGATTGGTATTATTCTTAATCGGGACTTGCAATATTCGTACAGAACATTTGCTCAAGGCTTACTTGAGGATTGTGACAATAATCCAAAACTTGGTGACGTTCCCATTCAATTCAAGGAACCAATTTATGGAACAAATGAGCCATCCTTTACTGACTTCGTCGCTCCTGGTGTTATTTTGACGTAAGTTGTAATTAATAGCTTGTCATTAGCAACTTTAACTCATCTGACTATCGTTTTTAGCATCGTTTTCTTCTTGGCTGTTGCATTGACATCATCTGCTCTGATTATTGAAAGAACTGAAGGTTTACTAGATCGTTCATGGGTTGCTGGAGTTACACCAACTGAAATTCTCTTCTCGCATGTCGTGACACAATTCGTTGTCATGTGTGGTCAAACAGCTTTGGTTCTTATCTTCATGATCCTCGTCTTTGGCGTGACCAACAACGGTGACATCTTCCTCGTAATTTGCCTCACAATTCTTCAAGGTCTTTGCGGTATGTGCTTTGGATTTGTCATCTCAGCTATTTGTGAACTCGAGAGAAATGCCATTCAATTGGCTCTTGGATCTTTCTATCCAACACTCTTGTTGTCGGGTGTCATTTGGCCTATTGAAGGAATGCCATATATTTTAAGGTGAGTGTTGGTTTGGGATTGGTAATGACGTCTAGCTAGTGGTAGAAAGGATGAGTGGTTCAAAAGCTGTGGTGACACGAGGATTTGCTTTTCTATGAAGTGTATTACAGCTTAAGACCCCTGTCGTCTTCCTAGACGCTAGAAGTCATTAGTTCTGACAAGTTTGACATCATTGCAGTTATGTTAGAAACCAAATTAATCTTAAACTTCCTTTATTTTAGAAATATCGCTGTTGGATTGCCATTAACACTCGCAACATCTGCATTGCGATCAATATTAACACGTGGATGGGGCTTCATGGAATTCGAGGTGTACATGGGATTCGTAGCAACAATTTCATGGATTCTACTGTTCTTAATCATCACAATGGTGTCCTTAAAATTAAAACAAAATTAAGAGAATTTTTTAGAAACTTTATTAAAAGAAATTTTTACTTCCAAAAAATAAGTTACCCTTAAATCCTGTTTTGTAGAAAATTTTCACCTTACCCTCACCACTTTACCCTCTATTGTTAATTTATTTTCAATGAGCCTTTTTTCTATTCTATTTGAATTTTGTTGTTTTTTTTTATTAAAAAAAAGAAGCCTGACTGTTCTCTTTTATAACTTAGATTTTGTACTAGGATTAATGAAAAATGTGTAAAATTACCCGGATTATAGGACATTCCCCCTTATTTCTTAATCTTCAGAATAATAAATAAAATTTAAAAAAAAAATGGGATCGCAATTCATATAATTTGATCATGTATAAGGGACAAAAGCATGCAATTATTTACTTATAAAAAACATTTCTATTCAACTTTTTAGTGATAATTAAAAAATTATTTTTTTCATAAATTATTAGATTTGTAAAAAATTACAAAAAAAGTTCTTTCATACATAAAATAAACAAAAACTGCTCAGTTGAATGTTTCTCAGATGTGGAAATCTCAATATGTGCACATTTCATTCGAAACTTGATCCTTTTATGAATTGTATTGTATTCATGGGAGGAATTTGTATATCTTATAATTAAGAATGACAAATAGCTTGGTGAACTTCGAAATAGAATTTTTTTAAAATTGCCACAAAATTATTGTTTGATAAGAAATGTCGAAAACTTAAAAGAAATAGAGATTGTTCGAGTTTTGATGGATGTTAACGTTAGGAAGCTTAGAACTCAATCTTTAAGGTGATTTTCAAACTTATTGTAGTTTTGTATTTAAAAATTCAATTTCTGGTGGTTTTTGCAAAGATTTTCAGAAAATTGACGACTTATGACAAAATGTAGATTCTATGTTACTTGTTGCAACTTGTTTGTTATTATCAACAGTTTGCTTTTTAAATGTTTTTTTTTTTGGTGAGAACCTGTCAGAACGAGATCAAAATTGATTGAAATTGATCAAAAATGTTCGAAAATTATCAAAAGTGTTTGAAAATGTTCAAAAATGTTCGAAAACCTTAGAAAATGATCAAAAAATCAAAATTAATCAAAGTTGATCAAAAATAATCAAAATGTGGTTTATCAGTTTCACATCCTCGATTCTTTGCTGCTCAAGTTTCAGACTAATGCAAATAAACTTTAATTACAGACTAAATAAAACATAACAATGTTTAACATTCTGTAGCTTGATAATGTAAAAATTCGCACATGCGATAAAGCAAAATTTGACCGATGAGAAAATCCTTCGGCAAACTTCGTCAAATGTCTAGAAAGTTTACGAATTTACAATCATTTTCATGACGACTTCAGATTTATTGATGCTTCATCTTTCAAATTACAAAATATTCATTTCATCTTCACAGAAAAAAATTCCAATTTGATCATAACGAAAATTTTAGTTCTGTATTACGATTATCATTTGCGTCACAAAAGATTTGCTCTGATATTTCCCCAGCATGACACAATGATCATCTTAATTTATCAATATGTGTGCATAATTCATAAGTTACAATTGCGCAATGACTCACAATGAGATTGCGAATTCTATTGTTCATCTCACACGTGGATTCTCTGAAGTTTATCCCAAATTGCCTTAAATGTCTAACATCACTCGAATAATAAAATTAAAAAAAGAAAATTAGAAAAAAATGTGGAGAAAACTTTATGAATGAAAAAAAACACATTACAAGTTAAAAAGAAAGATTTGTGAAATTTTTTATAGATTTTTTTAAAAATAATATCAAAAAAATGTAAATAAGTTTAAATAAAAAACTGTAAAATTGATGGATATGAAAAATATATGAATTCTTAAATTCTTTTTTTAAAGGAACATAGCAATGTGTTTTAATTGTATGCTGATTATTTAGCATCAGTTTTTTGTAAATATCTTAAACTTTATGCGAGGTGAGGTATTTCTAATTTTGGATTATAATAGAGTGAAGTATGCCTGAAATTTCTGTATACTTTAAACTTTTACTTTTCGTTAAGAAGTATTAATTATTCAATTATCTAGCCAAATCTAGTAGATTAACTTCGATTTTTGCTATAATTCTCAAACTAATGAAGATTTAAAAATTCTTAGTATATGTTAATTTAAGTAGCAAAGTACTCTAACTAGATCACACATTAGATCATTTAATAACCTTAAACGTCTGGAGATATTTCCAAAAAGCTGAAGTGGATAATCCGAAATTTTTTTCTTCAAAATATCAAAGCTTGCTGATGATGTGATCAATTTAAAAATACAGATTTGCATATTTAAAAGACTCAAAAGTCAATATTACAAGTATGAATTACCTTAGTATGACATCAGTGATGATGCTCTAGGATATTGTTGTCTTATTTGACAATGTAGCGCCAATGTTATTGATTTACATTAACAACTGACTTAAGACATTAACGAATGATTATAAACAAATGAAAGTGAAACTTCCAATAAAATGAGGTTCGCAATCTTTAAAAAAATCGTTTATTTTCATTTAATATTATTATTCTAAGAGAAGTTTTGATGCTCGATAGGGTTCTGAATCAGAGTAGCATCTGCTTTCAAAAACATCATTCAAAATTTATATGAAACTTGTGATGCAGAAAAATATATCAAAAATTCCTTAGGGGTCGTTCACTTATGACTTTCGAAATTAACGGTCATTTTTCAAAAAAGAACAATGAACTTCCAGGAATTTCTATTGTTCTTTTCTTGCTGACCCCCCCTCCCTGGACGTCATAAGTGAACGGCCCCTTAGCATCTCAGTGTTTTATAATATTTGGCTTTAGCCTATTCATAACTCGTCAGTGATGTCAATTCGTTTTAAAAAAAAAAAAAAAAAAAAAAAAAAAAACCTTTACCTATTCAGATCAATTGTGATCCAGAGGTGCGCTAGGGCGATTCGCAGCTAATGAGAGTTTAACGAGTGAGGATGCGCCAAACCACTGCACTCAAACCTAGACCTACAATTTATAGTGGGATCCGAACCACTCCTTTGATGACATTTCTGTCTGTAGCCTACAAAGGAAGGCTGTGAGCCTCATTTCCAGTACATATGATTCGAAAAAGGACAAGTGAAAAATTTCCCATACCCAGTCTCGAACCCATGATCGCTGTGTCGGTATTGCAATAATTAGGTACCGAAGTACTAAACCATTCCGCCACCGAGCCACTTCGTTTTATGAATGAAGAAAAGTTTGTTTTAAAAAAAATGCAAACTCGTGAATGTAAAACGATTACGAAAGAGAATGATGATTCAAAGCTTTTTATAGATTTGAAAAGATATTTTAAGGAAAAATTACAGAAGTAAAAGTTAAAAAAAATTCAAATTTCTGAACGCATTCTGATTACAATTTTTACAACGGTAGAAAACAGTTCAAATTTCTAAACGCATCTATCACATGTTTTTCATATGAAATAAAAAAATCAATAATTAAAGTATGAATACACTGTTTTAAGACTTTTAACTGTTCGGCCGGCCAATAACTCGATAGAACTAAGCTATTAAAACAAACCCGAGCTTTCTACGATGTCTGGTTAAAAAGTTTTTCTTGCCCCGAACAGCCGAACAAAGTGTATTATTAAGCGTACTTCACACAGGCATTATTAAGCTACCTTTTAGAAACAAGTTTAAAAAATGCGCTAAAAATGTTGTAAAATCAGATTTTTTTTTCAGAGTTTAAACATTTCTAGCTTCAAGGAAGGGAATTCTGAAGAGTGTGGAATCGGATTTTGATCATTCCGATCATTTTTGATGAGTTCCAAAATATTGATTGCAATTATTTTTGATAATATTAACATTTAAAAACCAAACAATAAAACCAATTAATTTGTGATTTTATGTATCGAATTTTAATCTATTTTTTTCTGAGTCTAAGAGTGTCTTTATAATTGTCTTAGTTCTAAAACTATTCAGACGCACTAAAACTGTTTTCTTCAATTGAAATTAAGTTAAGAATCTTCTTTTTGAGTCTGTAGTCAAATATTCAAGAGTAATTTTCGAATTGAAAATGTTTGAGAAACTCTGCTTTAAAGGTTCAAAAAACTAAACATAAAAAGAATTGTTATACTTCTTTAAAAAGTTAACATATTCTGTTATGTTATAATATTAATTTCTTTTAAATAAGAATCTCACTCATTGTCCACTGTTCCAACTGTAAAGAAGTCGCAAGTTGAAAATAAAAGTGATTCAGTTCTAAGTTTTTTTTGTTATTATTATGCAATCATATTTAAATTCTTTATAAGATTACAGTATTTAATTTCTTGTACAAAATACATGTGAAATGTGATGAAATGTTTATTTGGTGCAAATAATTAAACCGACTGTAAAAATTTAAGCAATAAAGCAGACAAATATTTACTTAATGAAGTAAATCTTGAATTAAACAGAATTAAACGAGACACCCAAATATGTGAGTGGCTTCCTATGTAAAAGCATTATAATTCGTTTAGCAAATTATGTGACTGATTTATTCTTAGAAACTTAATTTTGGTATTAACTGAGTCACGCTGTTTGAAAAATGAAAATTTAAGATAAACAAAGACAAAAAAAAAATTCAAAGAATCCAGTGACTTAAGTCCAGTTTAATCTTTTCTTTATTTTTTGAGCTTAAACCTATAAAAATTTTCAAAGTAAATTTCGTGATTTAATGTGCAAATCTGTCATAATCCGTTAATCATTAATATTCTAGGAGAGTGTTGAAATATGCATAAATATGATTTAATAATGGAGATAAAAGAGTGGGTCGTGAGTTGAAATAATTCGTTGATCCGTGTTGATTCATTGTTTCATTCTATTATAATTTTAAAATTCTAAGTCAGCATTATTCTTCAAATTAATAATGCAAGATCATTGCTTAATCTTGACTCATTGAAGGTTGATATTTTTGTAAAGTTATGAAATTCCTCATAAACTGTCATTTTAATAGAAAAAAAGGATTAAACTTTTTGCATCATTTCATTAGAAAAATCTATTTATGATACTTAATTAGCAACTCTTACCAAGCCTCCAACTACATATGACGTCAAACGATAATTACGGAAAAAAATCAATTGATTCCAATGTTCATTGACTTTCAGTTTGTCAATATTTAAGAATCATTGGAAAGTACGCAGTTTATATTAAATCATGGATGTGGAACTGATCAGATTCATCAGAAATAATCAAAAATTGATCAAAAATGAAATAGAAACAAACTATCAGCTTCCCACAATTGTATTATATTTGTCAAAAAGTCAAATCTATCAATCAGATTTCAAAAATAAA